CTCACAGAACTGGGCCAAATGCCTGTGCTTATCTCATATATTTTGTGCTGAAATAATTCCAAAGGAGTGTTGGTTAAATACCTACCAGGAGAGACAGCTGGAAAACACAATTGTGCCTCTTTCTGTTTGTTAACAACTAAATCTTTAACATAAACCACAAACTGAAATCTTCCATTGCTTCTAAGGATCTGCTGTCTTATTTGAGGGACTAAATACAATCTATTATATATGTATAAATAATTTATTTGCTTGATTTTATTATGATGACCACAGTGTTAACTCAGTACGTATTTAATAATGCAGGTATTACCTATAGAGCTTAGTTTCTACTTTTTTTACTGTAACTTTATATAGCTTGTGCCTGTTTTGGCAGCACCCATATATCTTTAATAATTTAATATATGGTGTCTTGCATCTGAATCTCTACACTACTTTTTCAGATTCTTTGAAATCTGGAAACAGTGAAGCTGCTTTTCCAGTTCTCCTCCAGGTTTTAGGTGACTTCATTCTTTTTTTTTTTTTTTCCCTTCAGACTTTCTCTGACCTGTTGTTAAGGTGCTGGTTTTTAAGTTAGGGAAATCGCTGACTGGAAAAATGTACCCTATGACTGTTCTGAGGACTAAGAATTGGATGGTTTCCTGTGAAATATATTTTATCTTAAACATAAATACTGTGCCTGAACTCAAAAGTCAATCTAGTACCAAGGCAAGCACAAGGAAGAGTTACTGAAAATAGATTGATTTTTGTTATTCCATAGTGGTTACCAAGTAGGTTTCTTGATAATGATTGATAATGAGTACGGTCTCTCAGCATTATGTTAAATTTTAGGCAAGTTGAGCACTGTAATGGGAAAGCAAAGTTTCAAGAGTAAATGGGAGCAGGTCTCTTAAAGGAATTAAGAAAGTAGAAGGGCCAACATATCACAACATCACCTAAGGCAAGAGGCTATCTTTCCTAAACACTTAAAAACTCCTTGTAAATGCTAGCATTCATTATAGGAAATGGAATGCCACCAAAATAAAACTGCCTAGGGAAAAACTTCACTTTAAATCTCTAATTTTTCCCTTAAAACATTTTTAATAAGGGCCACACATGCATGAGCTGCAAGAGTCCAAAGCTCCCAATATCCTGAGGACCATTTCTGCTTTAGAATGAGATTTTTAATTTAAAACTTTTAGAATACAGTTGGATTTATTGGTTCTGTTTTGGTGCCTCAGATATTTTGAAAAATTACACACACACACACAAAAATCAGTCTAAAATGGAAACAAACCCCAAAACTTCAAAAGTACTTATAAAACTGTGCTGTCCAAATTAGCTTCAGAGTGTTTAAAGCAGCCTTTCATTCTGCTTTTTGGAAAGTTGACCAGGTTCCAAGAAGTCCCAGGACCCACGAGTCCTAGGAGGCCTCCCAGAAAATCCTTAGAGCTGGTTTAGAGCTGATAAGCCCTCTTTCCCTGGCTGCAGGTCACTCAGCAGATTTTCAGATATCTGGGCAGATGACATGGAAGACACTTCAGAGGGTTTGAAAACTGCATCATTTCTATCATATTTGTGTGCAGATGGGTGAATATCTATGAATAGTTTCCATTTTAAAGACAAGCATTTTCCGCAAGAAAAATGCTCCTTGGAAGAATCTACACGGTATGTTCAGGATTCCCTTTTTCTAATCAATGCCAGTACAATTCAGTTAATAGGACTGAAACTGAAATGGAGTCATGATGGGATTATTGACATTCTGTTTTGAAAACACTCACAGAATGTCTAAATCCTGACTGGTGAAATGCTGACACAAACAGTAAGCTTTTCCAGGAAAATATGAGGTGCCAGTGCTGTCACTGCAAGGCTGTGGCTCCTGTGGTGGGTCTGCATTGCTCTTTCTCCCTTCTCAGAGGTGCAGACAGCTTCTTGCCACCAGCATGCTCAGATACTTCAGCTCCCATGTGATGTGGTGATATGGTGCCCAAATAAAAAAAAATAGCTGAAATTATTTATGTGAATTTTGAAGCATCTGAAGTACAATAATTCCCTCAAAACTTGATGTTGCTGTCATTGGTTTTAGTAATACGTGTTCCTGTATTGTATTTAATCTCTGAACTCTGGAGCATCTTAGAGTACAAAACAAATGCCATCACTTTAATCTCACTTAAGTGAGAGGGAAACTGAGGCAGGAGTGGGGAACTGACTTATGCTTTACTTCACACGAGATTAGCAGAATATAAAACTGAACCTTTAGCTGGGTTCCCTCCATCCTCTACTACAATAATAGGAACTACCTCAGTGCTCACATCCTCCCTCTCATGTGAATAATAAGTAATACTGTTGAAAATTCTCACACATCTTAGATGAAAAGAATGTATTTGTTCATATTTTTAAACAGCACCATGAATATGTGGGCCTTCTCACTATGTGCATCTTTCATTAATACCCTACTACAGGATCTTGTTGGCAGGCTTGCTGTCTTGCTGTAGCAGACAGTTGGGTGTTTAATTTTGAGGAATTGCTAAGCAAATATTTGACGTGCAGCAAGTGGTTTGACTTTATGTGTACATTTGTCCAGTTAAGGAATACCCTGTCCCTTTGCCTTTTACTCCACCAGACTGCCTGCATGCAAAAAAACCCTGAAGTAGCAGGTAGTATAAGTGGGCAGTGTTCACAATAAAACTGGACTCCAGGTAGTGACTGTAGGCAATTTAGTGAAGTTTATTAAATAGTTTGTACTATGGGTATTCATATTCATTTTGAGCAGACAACAAGGGAAAAATGCTGTCCTGAAGTCTGATCAGGAAAACATTTTCTGTAAACGTGTCTTTTTGTCAAGTAAATAATTTGATGTTGCTGCATGTTTGAGATTTGCTCAGTCAGCCCGAGCAGTGCAACCAGTCCACGCGAATTCCACTGTGGGCTGTGTGCAGCCTTTCCTCCCTGCCTTCGGCCTTGGCCCTGTGATGTGGAGCTGCATCCGTGGGTAAGGCTGGGGCACCGTGGGCACGTTCCTCCCTCCCTGCTGGCTGCTGCAGGGTCTCTGTGGGCAGGGAAGGGCTGGGGGCAGCTGGCCCTGCCCAGCCCTGCTTGGGCACTGGAGGGGAAAGAAGGGAAGGGAAGGGCTGGGGACAGCTGGCCCTGCCCAGCCCAGCTTGGGCATTGATGGGGAAAGAAGGGAAGGGCTGGGGGCAGCTGGTCCTGCCCAGCCCTGCTTGGGCACTGGAGGGGAAAGAAGGGAAGGGCTGGGGGCAGCTGCCCCCTGCCCCAGCTCCCTGTGCTTCAGGCGGGAGCAGCTTCCACTCTGCACCTCCCCGGTCCCACAGGCAAGCTCTGTCTACACCATTACTTTTTCCTATTAGTATCAGTAAGTCCCAATGGAGAAGCAATTAAAGAACCACAATAAATTAGATGATTTGCCCTCTTAGCAAAAGTGCTATAAACCTGTTGTTTTCTTTGGTTTGTGTAGGGCTGCTTTTGTCAAGTCATAGCACACTGTTGCTTAACTGTTGCCTTTAGCTGTCGGTTTCATTATCATAAGCTTATTCATATGCTTCTGTCTTTCTCTTTTTGTGTATAATGAGTAATTAGTGCAATTTAATATGTCGTCATTGTTGCTTTTTCCAGCACAGAATAATAATAAAAATCCAGCATAAATATAAACTTAATTGCACCTTAACCTCTTTACACATCTGTACGTCTCCACATAAGCCCTCAACAGTGATCTGGTTTGATAAATGACACTTTTTTAAGACTCTGTAGATACTTTTTCATAGCAATTTTAAGGACAAAATGGAATCATCAGAGGTTCAGAATATGCAGATACTTGGGATATCATAGACTAAAACATGTCTATTTCAGAAGCATGAAATAAAGCCAATTATAACAGCTTTAGTGAATTAGACAGTGGAAACAATCTCAGGATGAGTGCTTGATGTTTAGCTCAGTTAATACCAATTAAAGCCTTCATTATAATTTAAAATTCTAATGTAGAAATGTTCTGTTGCTATTTGCTCTTTTTTTCTCAGTACTTTTAATGAGCAGCATTGCCTAGATTGAATTTTTATTTTTACTATTTTTAAAAGGACATTTTTGCAGTTGTACTGTTAAAATCTCAAAACCTTCCTAAAATATGCATGGTAAAAGGAAAATGGTGTACAGAAGACTTTATCTCTTTATTTAAGCATTCAAATGGCATCACAGACTACTCATGCCTTCCTTCCATATTTATTCTGTGGTCACTAGATGCTTCTCATACTCATTTTAGTTTGCTGATCTCTGTTACACCTTTTATCTCTCACACGTGTATTTTTCCCAGCACAAGGATGTATATTAAATGTCATGTTTCTTTATATTGTTGTGAAGTTCATTGTTTTACTTCTGAAATAGGTAGTGCACATGTGCTATGAGCAAACTGTGGTAATCTATGTAAATTATGTGCACAGAGCCCTACTCTACCCTTGGGGGAAATGCAAATTAGAACATTTTGTAGTTTGTTTGTTTTTAAATACATACACTTTTCACATCAAGGCTCAGGACAGACTCCCTGTTTATTTTCCCATTGCTCATCATTTGTTATTTCTTGTAAATATCTCAGTCTTTAATGATTAGTTTGCTACTTTGGCAGGAAAAAAATACTTGATGAGTGAAGTCCTCAAAATACAGAGTTTGGTGTATTTTATAGCTCTGCTGTAAGGGATTTATCTGCTTGTAAAAGGGTATGTAACACACAACTCAAAGCCATTATAGTGATCTGACAGTCTTCATTCATTTTCTCCCAGTGTTGTTTTGTTTCTTTATTTTACGTTAATGTTTGTAATTTTTTTTAATCCTGCATGACTAAAACACAGTTAACTGATTTTCCTTATATGAAGCAAGAAAAACATATTCCTAAACTGTGTTGTTTACTGCACTTGCAGTTCTCTGCAGATGTAATTTGTTTTAATAATAAAATTATTTTTATACCCTTTAAGTACCCTTTCGGAGAAATGTTTTAATGTAAGTTGTCTGATTCTATTTTAAGTGAAGGAGAAAACCTGGTAGAGGTTGTCTCTTTAAATCAGATCTGCAGTGTTGATGGACCCTCTAGCAGGCACGGTAAGAACCATTCTCACCTCTGCAGCAGGGAGCTTGACCATATAGACTCTCACATTCAATCAAAACGTTTTCCCTTTTAATATGCACTGTACCAATCCTATTCCCATGGTTACAGCCCGTGCTTCTTTGGTTGCTTCCAGACTGTTGGAAAAGGAAGGCAGCATACATTTCTTGTACAGGAGTTTAAAACATCATGAAAGCAACCCTGTTGTGATTTGCATTTTAAATGTTTCTTTTTTTTTCTCATTGTACAGAATGCTGTAGCAGTAGCTTCAGTTCATTTGCCACAGTCTGTCTTCTCTCAGTCTTCAGCCTGGCAATCTGTTGATAACTCCACTTGCAAGCTGCAGTTTATTGTCTTTCGGAATGGAAAACTCTTTCCTAGCACAGGAAACTCATCAAATCTCGCAGATGATGGGAAACGTAGGACGGTTGCCACACCAGCTGTTTTTGCTAAAATAGGTGAGAAGCTGTTATGCATTATTTTCTTTCATCTAAAAGCTACGGTATACTTGATTGTGCAGAGAATAGAGGGGTAGAGTATGCAGTGTGCTGGGAGGCTGGATACAGTGTCTGTCTTTAGTACAATGTTTGCAATTGTTCCTGTCTGCACGATTTTGTTCAGATTGTCCTGCAAATAAAATTGCATTCTAATGCCCTTGCACTACGATTAGAATGCAAATTCTGGGCTGCTGTTTGTTGGCTGTGTTGTTACAGATGCTCGCTCCTTAAAGCTATCAGAAGGATCCTTGTTTTAATCTTTGCAGTTGCAATGTTAATGTCCTGGGCACTGGTAAAAATAAGGCTTTTGGAGTGGGAGTAGTGCCCTGTTGCATGTATCAATACTCAGCAGTATACTTTCTGATGCGGTGGATGTAAAACAGGTGTTGTTAAAGACTTTTATCTAAATGGCATACATTGTATGTGCTAGTGAATCAGTATTTTGGTTAATTACTCACCCATGCAATTTTACTAATTTTGCCCGATGCTGAATAGTGCTCTCATTTCTATTAACATTTTAAAATCTTTGAATGTTACTTTCAAAGTGCAGAATTGTCTCAGCTAATAATCATCCATGAAACTGAGCCGTTTCTGCAGTTACATGGGCAATAGTGTAATAGTGGTCATAAATGAAGAATCTGAAACAATAAAAAAGATCTCCTTTGTGAGGAGTTATTAGATCATTGTGACACAATATGTGTTTGAAATGCTCAGATTTATTTATACCATTGCAAACTTCTCCGATGTGAGCACTACCTTTGATTTTGACCATTAAGATTTTATGTCCCCTGGCTTTTTCCCCCTAGTTTAGTGCATCTGGTCTCTTTACAGAGCATTCATCACTAAAGGGTTTTCCACGCCGTCTCTCTGATTCAGTTTTTTCCTTTTGCAGATGGGTGCAGTTTCGGAAACCTCACTAGCCCTCTTACAATAGGATTGAGGCACTTTGCACGGGGTATAGACCCCATTGCAGCCTTCTGGGATTTTGACCTTCTAGATGGACATGGAGGCTGGTGGGGAGAAGGGTGCCACATAATTAGTTCTGCAGGCAATATTACCACCATTCAGAGTACACACTTCAGTAACTTTGCAGTGCTAATGGTAAGTATATGATTTAGCAAATATAACTATATTTCTCTCTCTCTCTCTTTTGCCATTCATTTATGTTTTATTTACATGCATTTGTTTCATTCTGATTTGTCAGTAGCTGACCTGGGTTTTTATAATGTTTAGTATAAAACAGTCTAAAAGAAAGTAAGTTACTTAACTGCTAGCAAGTGAATGAACCTGGTGGTCAGTTTTAATATCCTGAGACAGGCCTAATCAGAAATGACATTAACTTCAGTCTTATAAATGAAAGTTCCATCAAGGAATGATTAGTACATAATGGTTATAAATTATATGACAGGGTTTAAAAATGTATACTCCTGTGTGCTTTTACATCAGCACATCTCAGAGGCTGGTCTGCTTTTGTTCCTGCCCTGCACTGTGTTGATCATACTAATTAGTTGCAGGCATACCGCAATGTTGAATCATTTAATAAATGGAGAGGAATAGCATCTTCTGCTCTTTTAAGTGTGGACAGAGCTGTCCTTGTTGATTCTGTGGGAGTTTTGGTTTGTGCACCGATGCTGATAGCCTACTTACGAAATTGCTGCTTCTGAAGGAAAATATTCCTGTGCAGTGCTAACACATCAGCTGCTTTGCTCTGTTCTCAGTCACACTTACAGTTCCCATTGCAGTTATTTAACTAACCTGCTTAACAGAAAGTTACCTTCATGAAAGCAAAAATATTATGCATGCAATAATGAACTCTTATTATTCAGGGACTAGAGGAAAGCGAACAAGAAACTGAAATGTTTCTAAGCTTTAGAAAATCTTTGCACCCTTAAAAATATTTATTATAAAACAGTTGTAAAAAGAGTAGATGTGTGTACTATTAATACTAGATTGCTCTTGAATGCTGATGCATGATTGCACTGTAGATGCTGCTTGTGTACATTACAGAAATGTTTATAGTTGAGTAAATAATGTATTGTGTGTATGTGTAAGGGACAGCAAACACAGGCGACAGGAATTGCGAGGACGTGTGCAGAGAATACCAATCTGCTGCTGTCAGATGGAGCCCAGATGGCAGCCAATCATAGCACAAAGCTCTGCTGCCCACGAGTTAAATGCAGATATTATCGTCCACTTTGTAAGAACTGATTTCCCTGAGAATTAGTTGAACATTTTTTTACCCACTATAGAATTGCTCAGAATGTAAGAGCTGTTCCTCAGATTTGATGACAGCAAATATACCTCATTTTCTACAGCTCCTGTGAGTTCCCTTTCCCCCCAGCCTCTTGTTTCCCAGAATGTGAATCATAATTTTGCTTTGAGGGTGTTTTTCTAAATTAATTAAAGAAAGCACCTGTTGACTTTGCAGGTGCCACACCCAAAATGGCTTCCTCCTTCTTCAACTGCTTGAGTTCAGCACGTTGCTGTTAAACTTTGAGCAGTTACTAAATGTTAACTAACAGTTTGCAATCAACCAATTCCATAATTTCTTTTTGTTTGAAAAGTTGAATACTGATACAAGGGCTGCAGGTAATTTTTGGGTTGAAAATCCCATTTATCTCTTATAAGATGTAGGAGATGGGTTTTTCTACAACTGTAAAGGCAACTGAGGCACTTTTTACTGGAGCTTTTGTATCTGGTATGTAATTCTGCTTTAGGCATTGTGTTTGTTTGTTTATGAGCATTTGACTGTGCTTTATTTCATGTGTGCATCTTCCAATTTTATCTGTGCAAGACAAGAAAGTAAAATCTTAGAATCACCCTTGCTTTGCAATTTCTATGGTAGCAAACAATGGGATATGTTTCCTAGCTCATGTTTCACAGTAACTTTCAAGGAAAAAGATGACAAGTAATTTTAAAATCTCCATATATAAATATGCACACACACAAATCCACTTTTCAGTCATTGTCTTTCTAAATAGATAACAGAAAATTTTTGTAGCTTCATTATGTCCAAACATTTTCATTCAAGTATTATTTCTTAATTACTGTTTTGTGGCATAAAGTCAAGGATTATTTTATTTGATAGAAATTATGCTTTTCTGGGCAGTTCAATTCTCATATCAGAAATGAAAATACTTCATTGTTCTGCATTTTTATTAATTTATAAAATGAATAGTATAATGTGTTTATGTGTACCTTATTAATTTATATCTATATGCCTAAACAGTTTTTAAATACTAACAAACCATCAGCAAATTCAAGATACCTGGCATATGGTGTGTAACTAATGAAATTAGCTACAATATCATGATACATGTCATTAATCTGTAATTCTCTAATCTGTTAAACAACAAAAATTCATAATTGATTATTATGGTTGGGGGTAATTGCAGAAAACTGAAGTAATATCTGTAAACTAAAAAGTAGCACTAAAGCTTTGCATTGCCATCAGAATTGTGTATATCCTGCTGTAGATTAAGCTGAAGCAGAAGCCTCAGTCAATCCAACTGTCCATTTTATGGTTTGCACAGCACATATTCTGGTTTGGCACCTTTTTAAACAGTAAGAAAAAGTTTCCTAAGGTGGTTTCATAGAAGTTGCCTATGCCTATGTAACATAAAAGGGTTAAAATAAAGGTTTTCTAGAGTCCTTTTTTTAGAAAGGCAGCAATCAAGGATTTATCAACAACGATTGATAATTAATAAGCATGAGCATACTTCAAGTGAGAGGAGTCATGTAGAGCCCTTTGATTTCTCTCTGTGACAGTTGTTCAAGTGATGTCAGTGAGAGAGAAAGTTTAGTTTGGAGGTTGGGTTGGGAAGGAGGTACATGCTCCTTCCCTCACGTGGCCTCACACTTTCACTTTGCTCTGGGTTGTGCTGGCAAATAGAAGTGAAATAATAGAGTCAGACACAACAGAGCATTATCTATTTCTGATCAGGTTTTCAGTCGTATGTCCTAGAGGTGAGAGTAAAATACTATGATCTAACTCCCACATTACATTCCTGCTTTTTACTTCATGTACTGTGCGCTCAGACTAGTCCTCTATTTTTTGTTTCTTCTGTTACCTATAGGAGGAAGAGAGTTTGTTACGCTCTAGTTTCTTTTGGAGGTGTCCAAAGCCTCTAGGGTCCTGAACTCCGCAATATGACTTTCTATTTTAGAGTAAAATCATAATTTTATAGACTCTGAAGCTTTATCATAGCTAATGATAAGTATTTGCTTCTTAAATACTGAATATTTATGTTGTTGTGTGAACAAAGTTGTACATCAGTATTTTAATTTTTCAGGACAATGTGTGTGTATGTTATGACCAATCCAGAGACCTCTGTATCTGAGGAATAACTCTTCATGAGATGACAAAAATATTCAATAGCAACAATGAATTTCAAAATTTGCTAAATATGTTTTGGCATACATTGTCCTTTGTTCTTCCTTTCATTTTTCTTAGAACGCAATAGAAATTCAATAGTGATGGATATTACTGTAATTGTATACAGCATTTCCTTTCCCCTTTAGACTGCTTTGTCAATAGTAATTTCCTCAAATCTGCCAAATAAACACAAATAAAATTATTAAATCTAAGCATGACACTTCCCAATTAACATAAAATGGATTAATAAATATTCTTAGCACTTCTAATTGTAATCCTAAAAGTTAAATCAACATAAGGTTAAATCAACATGAAATTATAAGCAGCTCCTTTCCTATTCTGTCACAATTTGTCATATTGTTCCAAGCAGCATAGATGTGGATTTTGTTGGGTTTTTGGTTTTGCTTTATGTGCATAAGGTTAATTATTTGTAGAAGTAGCATACATTCAGTGGATGCTTGTATGAAATAATTAGGGCTGGGGAGACTGAACTGACAAAGCCAGAGCACATTTGAAACTGTTCTGGAAGCAAACCTTGGAAAATGGTGTGAATGGGAAACTGAGAAGAGGCAGGATACTAGGAATGGATCACAGTAAGACTTAGGGCACTTTTCTCTTGTTGTTTTGCAAGCATCCCCTCAATCTTTGTAGTCTTTCCAATCTGGTACGAAGAAAGCTACTTTTTCAATATTTTCATTGTTGCTAGAAACAATTGCAGAATTTCTTAAACCTGTTCAGTTCAATTCTGAACACAGAATTCTAAACTTCCATCTTTCAGGTCTTCTGCAAATTAAGCAGCCTGTCTAAGCCTTTTGAGAAATTAATTCATGAGTCGGGGAAGTATTACAGAGATGTCATTTAGAAGGTTGGCGTAATTACAGTATTTGACTTTTCCCCATAGAGAACACAGGGTTTTCTCATAGCAGGCTGTGGAAACATTGTTCTGTACTTTGAAAAATCAGACTGCCTATAACAAGAGGCTTAAGAACGAACATTTCAAGTCTCTTTTAATGTTTAACCACAAATTTAAACACATATAGCATAGACCTTAGCAGAGTTTATGCACCAAAGATTGTGAGAGTGATCCAGAAAGTTTACTTGCTATATGTAAAATTAACATTTGTTGTAGTGGGAGCTGCAGAATTCCCTGGAATTAGATTAGTTGCACATGTATAGATGTTTCCCAGTGTGAAGAGCCTGCAAGGAGAGGCACATGCTCCTCACTTCAGTCCTCAGCTGGCATGCAGTGCTCTCTGCTCATGCAATGCTCATGATCATCAGAGAATGCTGAGCCCACATGGATAGTATTGAGTCCAGCCCCCAGAAAAGGCTGCTTTTTTAAGAATATTCCTGACTGACATTCTTTTGCACAAAGCCTTGGAATTAGAGTACTCTTAAGAGCAAGATGTGCTTTTTATTTAGTTTTCCTTCCATGTACTTTTTATTAAATTGCATTTAATAATATGTATTATTTGCTCTGTAAAAAGCATAAACTGGGCTCAAAATTCCATGCTTGTCTCCTCCAAAAGGCAGTGATTTTATCACAAATTAGATCTCTGGCTCAAGCTCTTTCTTTCTGTTTTTCCTTTCTGTTGGCTTAATGGATCTTGCATTCATCATGGTGCAACTTCAGCCAGCAGGTAAATGGATTCAGATTGTAAAACTCAGTAAAATATGCCAACTCTTGGAAGATAGATGGAAATTAAGGGGCTGGAATCCAGGCCTTGGGACATTTTATTGTCTTGGTGGCTTCTACTGGGCTCCTTTCAATTCAGTAACGTCATTCTTGTACTGAAGTGCCCAAACTAGACACAGTAGTTGAGATTTGGCTCACAAGTGGTGAATAGAAGGGAATAATTATTTCCCTCCTCTGCTGTGTGCAGTCTTGGTAATGGGGCCCAGTATGGGATTCATCTCATGTGCCCCAAGTGCTCACCACTGTCTTGGTTTGTTTCACACCATCTTAAAAGGGTGAATCAATTACAGTTTCTCATTGGACAACAGCTAATGGGCCTTGTAGTCGTAGACACCAGTTTGTAATGGTCAAAATCTCATAAGTATTCATTTTCCTGGGATAATTACTGTGATTTTTCAATGTCATAATGATTTGAATCCCCTCTAGGAAATAAAATCAAACCTAACTTTTTAAAATGTAACATACAATTTTGCTGCTTTGCATACAGCATTTAAAAAAATGCTTCTTTTCTGCATGTTGTCTTCCCCAGAAGATTACTCAAGGGAAGTTGATGGATCAATAAGGTTTAATTATCATCAGAGAGCAGACAAGATACATCTCTTATATATCTATAATGAAATCAGTTTTCAATGTACAAAACTTCTAAAAAGGATATTCTACTTTGGCATTAATGATTTTCATACTCAAAATTTTACGATTTATTTACAACAGAAGTTTAGATAAGAGATAAAACTCGTGCTTAAAAATGGAATTAGCTCTAAGGTGCTGATTGTTCTTCATTCTTCTGCAGGCAAAATGACTGTATTCCTGTAGGACACATGGCATTTGATTTATACTGATGATCAAACACAGGGAGATGTTGAATCTTGCATTTATACTATTAAAAACTAGTTCTTGAGTACACAGTGATGGTACTCAAGTAAAATTGCTTTCATTTTTTTCAAATGTGTAGCTACAGCTTTCAAATGTGTAACTTCACTCTGCTTCCTTTTTCACAACTTTAACTTTTCACAGTGATATCCAACTTACTTATTTCTTTAAATAACTGTGCTGTTACTACTGTATAGTTACAGTAACAGATTTCTGAATGCAGAGAAATTGTGTGCCTAAATTTATGGCAAAGTGTACTATAGTATATGAAAATATAATTACATCAGTAGGAGCTAGAAGTAATGTTCTGTCATTTTTAGCAGAGTATTTCTGTTTAAATTGTCCAGTTGTTTGCATTACTAGTCCTAGTATGAGCTACAATTGTATTGAACATTCCTGTTAAATATTCATCTAACTCAAGGGACTTACTCTATAAAAGAATTAATGGGGAGACAATGCAAATAAAAACATGGGAGAAAAAGATGATCAGGGTGAAACAGGATGTTTGAGTGGACATTCAGAGACAGTTCTGAGACAACAGACTTTTAAGGAATTATTTGAAAGTTACGAAGTCGTGGTATCCTGAGTCTTTATTCATGCACACTGGAAGAAAACAAGAATGAGAAGACCTTAAGAGCCTGGTTCTGCCATGTTAAAAAAACTAGCACATCAAAAGACAGAGTTCTTTTCCTCTTCTTTTCCATTTGTGATTGAGGGAAGAGCAGCAGGAACTGACACCTCTAGATGGGACAGCATAAGCTGAGTTCCTCCATGGAAGTGACTCCCCCTCTCGCCCAGGGTGTTGGTGAACTGGGCAGGGCAGAGAGGGAACTTGTGCGAAGGACAGGAGTGACAGAGCAGGTTGAACTGAGGTTTAACATGCAGGCTGAGGAAGAACCTGGAGAGAAATGGGATGTGATAACATGTAGTTGGCATTTTGTTCGTAAGTTATTTTTTTCATTTTGATGGTCCTTTTTATATACGTTGTGAGCTGCTCTGTTTAGAACTGACATTCATATGCATCTGGAGAAACTTGTACAATCAATCTCAGAAAAACTTTAAAGCTGATAACAAATGAAAATAATAACTACCAGGGCATCAGTTACTTGAGAGGATCATTTTAGAAGGTAAACTAAATTCTCACCATTTAGTAATTGCATATACTCATGAACATTATCTGCTTGTACGTGGACAAATTCATATTCATAAATAATGGTGCTAGAAATCAGCTCTCTGCATGCAAATGCAATTAAACAGAGGTATTAGCATTACAGTCCCAGTTTCCTAAGGGGAGATTTCAAAAATAATGTATTGAATCTTCTTCTGCAAAATAATGTATTGAACCTTCTTCTAAGGGAACCTAAAACTGACAAATAAGAAGAAAGTATTTTAAATGTTTGCCAATATTTTAAAAGTTAGAGTGCTGGATTGTCATATTTGGTAGTATTTCAGATTTTAACTTTGTCTGCTGGGATGTATATTCATTTTTATGTGCAGAGTTGGTGCCTCTGCACATGGGAAGTGGCATGTAGATGACATTGAGTTTGCACTCAGGTTTTATGTATAAATTTTAGTATCTGTGTGCAGAAAAGTAGTGCCACAAGCAAATGTGGCTTTATGCATTACAGGGAATGTAATGTTTGCTGTAATTCAGATGGTCCAAATTCATTCAGACAGTCTGAAGACATTCTGTTTTATGTAATGGGCTCCTTTTGCTTTCCATCCATCACACCTCCAGATTTAGCTCTCCTAAATGTGTAATTTAGAATGGGAATTTGATAAGGTTAATTTTACAAAGATATGGATAGTTTTTCATTGTTTTTCATGAAGAATTGTGTCACTAGGTGCTAACATGTTCAAAAGGAACATATGGATCTTTACTCTGCTGTTAATATAGCTGTCCATGTTACTTTAGAATTACTATAGGGAATAGAGTACTTCCAACTAAGTGTGAAGGTCACTGGGTTACAGGAGTTACATCAACTGGTAATTATATTTGAGTGAGTTGATAATTTGAGTGTATTCTCATGGTTCTTTTTACTTTGAGTGGTTCTTCTGCAGCCATATATATGCCATTTGGTGACCTTTATGGTGATTTGAAATGTTGTTCTTAATATCTTAGTAAAATACACTCATAAAATTCATGTTATCAGGAGGACCAGATACTGCTAATTCTGGGAAAATGTAATATTCTGTGTATTTTTTCAGACCCTTTTTTTTTTAAATTAGGATATGTCTGCTTGTACAAAAAGGTTAATTTCTGTCTAGCAAACTGTATGCAGATGAGGAAGGAGCAGTCTGTTATTGCAAATTCATGAACTGCATCTACATTAAAAGTTCATCTTTTTTTTTTTCCTGCCCTTGAAAGGGAACAGCTAGAAATGACAGGACATATTGGAATGAAGTCCCAGTTTCACACATGCCTAACAATGTTAAATCATTTTGCTCTTTCCACAGGATTTTAAGACAGTGCTGTCTTTCCCCCAGTACCCAGGGGAGTTTCTGCACCCTGTGGTTTATGCATGTACTGCGGTGATGTTGTTGTGCCTGTTTGCTTCCATTATCACCTACATTGTCCATCACAGGTAAGAATTCCATTTTAAGCACATATTAAATGGTCGGCACAACACTTGAATTTGAATTACTGTTGGAGAATAACATCAGCAGTGTGATTTACACCAGAGAAATCAAAGTTTATATCAACCTCTCTTAAGCTGTTTCTGAGCTTTCCTCACATATATGTTTACATTTTCTGTACACTTTTCCTAAGATTTGTAAGTCAACAAACTCAACATGAATACTATTAAGGTGCTTTCTGGCAAATTCCAGTCGAGCAGCCCTTTGGTCAGCTACACTTGCCATAATGACTTTTAAGACCAAGTTTGGTTGAAAGACTGGTAGCTGTCACTGGATAAAAGGAACTTTCTTTGTCTTTTAAATTTTGGGTTTAGAAAACTTGTGTTTTCTTTGATATGAAAAATTTATATAAATGCCATTTTAACTACATACTTCTGGTTAAAGACCATTTGCAATTTAAATGAGTAGGAATGTATTGTGCTGTAGAAGCTGCTAAATATTAATTATGTGAAGTTAATGCAATGTCTTCTGATATTCAGCTTCCATTTAGTCCTTTAGAGATGTCTTGTTAAAGCTCTGCATACGTGAAGCTATGCAATAAGCTTTTGCTTTTAGTACTCCACTTTAAATGCTTGATTTGGTGGAGGAAACAAAATCAGTAGAATTTTATGATTTTTACTATTTATTTTGCCTTTTAGTCATTTATTTCAATGCTATATAGGTCAAACTCTGTCCTGTGGGTAGATTGTTATATACGTATCCAAGAATCTGAGAATTTTATTCTATTAAATTAAGTGTTTTTCCCAAATAGTAATCTTTATAATAAATATGTTGGGGTTTTTAATTTTAAAATGTGATTATTTTTTTTTTCAACAGCACAATCCGAATAAGCAGAAAAGGATGGCACATGCTTCTCAACTTTTGTTTCCATACTGCTCTCACATTTGCTGTTTTTTCTGGTGGAATCAATCGCATTAAATATCCAATTATATGTCAAGCTGTAAGTATCTGTCTCAGTAATTCTTACTGATAGAATTGAAACTTGTAAATGAGTTCTTAACATAATATTTTGGATTGAATATGTGGGAGTTGCTGCTTCACTTCTGTAACCCATGCACTGTTTGCCTGGGGGTGGCCCTGGCTTCACTGGATGATCCCTAAGGAGACATAGCAGACCAGCATACTTGTGATTTAAGAACCCTTGTTTGCCCTGCTGGACTGTTTCACATCTCTTGCCTCAGCATTTTGGGGCAATAGTGTGATGAGATGCACAGACAGGGCTGGATTCAGCTGCTCTGAATGGAAAGGCTGAGTCTGTCCAATGTGTAAAGTGAGTCATTTCAGTCATCTTCTGTAATGTCTGATGAGAGCGTGTTGCAATTTGTTTGCCTTGAGCATTTCTTCCTCTCAGATTTTGTAGAAGTGCACCAGGGCTCATGAATGTTGTTGGTAATTTCCTGTAGTAAAGCACTTTGTTTAGCCAATGTTCTCCTGGCTTTTTTGCCTGTTACTAAATCCAGTTCTTCTGAATGCCTTGAATGGGTGAAAATAGCAAGTCAGAAGCCAAGAGCAGAGTCACTGTAAAGCTTGCATAGCTAGTGTAAGAGTTATCACACTTAGAGTGTTCAGTGAGGTGCTTTGGAAGCCTTTTTTGTATCCTTGTGCATGACCATCAGTAAACAGCACATGTGGGTCTGCAAGCACTGTGATGTTCTACCTGAGAAGTCTACCTAAGTGTGTTACACGATACTCATTTGAATAACAAAATTGTCCATTAGATGGAGAGAAATATCTCACAATATCTAGTGTATTGTGTCATAATTAATTTGTAAGTTCTAGCAAATTGAAATATCACTTACTATTGTCTTTGTGTGCAGTTTGCAAGTGATAGTAGCAGATTAGTTTGTAGGGCAGCCATGGCCATGTAATTACATGGTCACAAATGACCATCTGTTGTTTCAGGCGTTGTCTGATTATTTACTTTGCAGCTTGCATGGTAGCAGTGTGGTATTAGCAGCTATAATGAAAAATTGATTGAGATAAATGTGTTATTAATAGCCTTTTATAAGTAGTACATTAACTACAGGGGTATCTTAATAAAGTGCATTATTAGTGGCATCTGTCTTTTGCTGTGGGATAGGGCCAGATCCTGAGCTGCAGATAAATGTGCACGCTTAGAGAAACTGAATTGAACAATCCCTATATGTCTGCTAACCAGTTTCATTAAGTTATTTATTTACCTGATTGTATCATCAGTAGTTACAGTATAGGAAAGATACAAGTGACAAAGACTGTCCTCTATTTCCTGGTAGAAATTGTCTGATGTAATTAGACAGAGCTAATGGAGGAAATGGTCCAAGCAATCTAAGACAAGGCTCCAATAGCTGCTAACAGAGGCTGAAAAACTGCTCACTTTGAGAACATCATACCCAGCCACAGATCTTTTCTTGCTTTCTGACAGCAGTGTTTACAAAATTCTGAGTCCCAATGCCTCTGTCCTGTGATAACCCTGAGACAATTAGTCCGTGATTTAATATCCAATGTGCCAAAGCTCTGTTACTGGGGCTCAAAATATATTTGTGAAAATGTTACTGCTTCAAGCAGCATTAAAATGTTAGTTATACCACAGGTGTAATACCATCAGCTGCCATTCCAGAGGTATCTTTCATTCTGCTAAAATTCAAAGCACAACTTCAACCTGCATCAATGCAAATTTCACTTTTTATTTCCTGAGTGCATAGAAAAAGATTCCAAGTGCAAGTATTTTTTGTCCTAATCACTGAAATGTTGCATAAAAGCCAGTCAACCACCCCCTTTCCTATTGTAATTATCCCTAAAACTTCCACCAAAAGATCACTGCAGCATATTTATCAATGTGAAATAATAGGCTAAGTCAACTTTTATCCTTCAAATTTAACCTAAAAGGGTGGTTCTAAATTAGCTTTATTTGGATCACCCTCTGCCTATAAATGTGTAGTTACAGGTTAGTTTTAAACATCAGGAATTAATGCTATGGAAATGGCCCCATTTTCTGTGATTGCTGGAAGAACCTTCAAATCCCCTTCAAGATGATACAGTTACACAAAAAAAGTCTTTTCAAAAATGGTCAGACATTTATTTTTATGTGGAATCTAAAAATCTAAAATTCCCTTTTAAACCTGCATATCTATTTCAGAGAGGATTTTGTATAGACCTTTCACTTGCATGTGTGCTCTACAGTCATTATGATTTACAAAAATCCTGATGTTAGAGTGCTGATCTAGAAGAGTTGATTGCATCTCCTCCCATTTCCCAAGTGAATGGATCTACAGACTCCTTAGATTTCCCTTGAATCTCATTCTGGGTGTCACTGAATGTTGGCTGTTGTAGAATCCAGGCTCTTGAGTTCACTGGCAAAATCTTGAAAGCAAGGCAGAGGTTGTCTTAGGAGCTGCAGGGATAACTCAGAGGCGCACCACTGCCAGAAAGGTGCTTGAGCCAGCCAGTGAGCCCCTCCATCTCCCAGCCTCAGGTCAGTTTGCTTCAGAAGGCAGGAGGAAGCTCACTCCTTTCATGTGAAGAATGAGAGAGAAGGAGACACCACTGTTGCTGGATCACTCCCCGTGTGTGGGAGGCATCAATTCTGTACTCTCAAAGATTTCTGTTTTGTGGCTTCTGCTTTAGAGCAAAGGATGATAGCCATGAGTTTAGGGATGCTAGGGGTGAAATCATCAGTCAAACATGTTGAAGCATGAAGAATGGACTGGGCACAAGATTCAGGAGGCAGAAAAGTTATGGAGAGAGACAGAATCTTATTTTTTTATTCCATGATCACTCCAATCACATCTGCTAGAACCTCTATATGGTTTATAAAATAAAAGCTTCCATATAAGTTTGGCAAGGCTCAGATCTCCTTCTCCCTGATGAATGTCATATGTGAAGCTGCTTGTGAATTTGTTTCTGTAAGGCAGTAGATCTTCAGCTAGAAAGGCAAAGCTCATTCCATACTAGCCAGCAGCCCACAAGTTCAACTCAGAAAGTTGAATTTTTTGCTCTAAATTTTCTACCTGTGAAGGGAGCATGGGGTTTTGCTAATGCTAAATGTTTAAAGATCATGAAATATTCAGATCCGTTGGTGTTACAGACTGCAGAGAAATTCCTGAGCCCCTTCATCTCACAGAAAAGAATAATTTTCATTGCAGGATTAAAAGTTTAATCAGAATGTTCGTGCATATCTGTGTCCTTCTTTAAATAAAACTGAATTAAGAAGTACAATCTTATCTGAAATATAATTACAACTAAAAAAAAAAGAAATTAAATTAAAAATTTGGGAAAAATAAAGAAAATTGTGTGCAACTTAAAGCTAATCAAGAGACCCTTTTGTGCCAAAATGCTTTGCATAAATGTGTATTCTGGTCATTACCATGGTAACTGCATCATATGGAACTTAACTTATCTCTAGGGTACTGAAATATATTGAAGGAGCACAAACAGACAGCATCTTCTTGCTGAAGAAAAGTATAATCTTCTATTCAAAAGGCTAGTGCTTATTCCCAAAGATAAGAGTTCTGAGAACACAGGACGAGTTAAAAATGAATCCAAGAAAACAAGAAAATTTTTGCCATATAACTGTGGTTATTAAAGAGCTTTAGATACAGTGCTCTTATCAATGCTTATATTCTGGCAGGTTTTTTGTACCATTTGGCCTGTCAGTGGAAAACCTTCTTAAAAATAGGGGTCATCACTTCAATATTTCCAATCACAATCCTTTATTCTCTGTGGAAAACACAACCCTTTCCATAAAAGTTTATGTGAAATACAAAAGTTCTGCTAATAGTGAAAATAGTTTTAAGTTATTACTTGGGTATTAATTTTGTATATAGTTTTTGGCCTCTTAATCTTTACAGAGGTAGAAATCCAGTAACAGATACACACAGCTAAATTTGTACCCTGGAGTTATCGTGCGTCACCTCCAGTTTGCATTTGCTCAGAGAGTCAAGAAAGAATTTACTGAGCAAAGCCACATCGGTCTTTCTGTTGAGCCTCATCCTTCCCTCCTGTGTCATGAGCTGCTATCTCGTGCATTTCTACTGGAGGGCCCGGGTGTTTTCCTAGCCTGAGAGTTAGCAAGGGGCGACCCCACTGGAGGGGACAAAAGAACTTGCAGTCACAGTCCCCAAGCACAACGGTGAGGACGATGCATCTCTGTGACATAACTGATGTTGGTGGGGAGACAAGGGGAGGGAAGAGGCAGAGAGCAAAACCCAGCGCTTTGAAACGCTGAACTTTCAATGGGGAGTGTGACAACCCTTTCTTTACTATTTATTAGTGAATATTAGCAAAAGTTCTAGAATTTACTCTAACAGCTCAGTGCACCCTTCCAAATCCCACACTTCTGCTGTGTCACATCAAATCTGTTAGTCATAAGGAAGTCCTGTATCTTCAGGATAAATCCTTGTTTCCTTCAAACAAGAAATGCAAATGGTTGGGGGTCTGGGGTTTTTTTTGGTTTTTTTTTTTTTGGTTTTTTTGGGGGGGGGTTGTTTTGGTTTGTTTGTTTGTTTTTTTGTTTTTTTTTTTTTGTTTGGGGCTTTTTTTGACAGAGCGATGCAGATCATCTCGAAGAGTTAGTACAGAGAATGATAACATTTTTGCCTCCTCCATGTTTGTTCAATTTCTCCATATACCAGAGGTAACTCAGTTGCTGAAACATGAGCACGCTGTGAAAAACAGCAGTGTGATGCAGGTGTGGCATGGCCATGATGTTTTCAGTCCTTTCAGTTGCCTGCTTGAAAGTTCAATAAAATTGTTTTGTTGTACTATTTTTAGGTCTTACATTCATTTAAGTGGCTGATGATTTGTATCCATGTGGTCATATATGTTTTCAGAATTTCACATGTAGGTGCCTTTTGACCTGGAATTCCTTTCAACTGTTCCTATTATTGCACGTACCTGTGTGAAAAACAGAATGTATAGCAGCAGGGCTATGCGGAAATGAGAAAGAGGTTAGGAACTAAATATCTAGATTTTTTTTCCATTTTTTTCTCATTATTTCTGCCTTCTTCTTCCTCCCCCTTTCTCGTCCTCCTGCCTCCCCTCCCTGCTCATGGTCCTGTTCAGGGCATCCCTACAGAAATTCTGCAAGCTGCCTGTGAACTGAGTCCAGACAGCACCAGTCCCTGAACTGGCAGCGTCTGCCAGCCCATAATACACAATTGTCTCATTCTCTTATTTCTGCTTCTTTTACCTCAAGCAGTAGCAGTGATGAAGGCTTTGTCCTCCCTTGTCTAAAGTGACAAACAAGTCCCAGAGAAAATTACAAAGGGTTTTTTGTTGATGATATTTGCTGCTAACTTCAAGTTTTGAGCTATAATACTAAATAGAAACAAAATGCATAGAATTTTTTTTCTTTACCCATCAATTATTTTGTTTTAAGTGGAGCAAAAATGAACACTGGTTCAAATAAATCATTATAATAGATTTGTGTTAGCTTTATTCAGCAATTCTCTGTATTCCTTAAACTTTTATGTTCTTTCCAATTATAGCAATATTTTACTTGTCACTGCAAAATGTCAGGTTATTGCTTCAAAGGTAACCTCATTTTATATAATCAGATGCAGACTTAGCTGATGTAATAAAGCACTGGAGATTGGATAAAATTCCAATTACTGCTTCCATAGTAATGAATAACAATTACTAACATAACAAAGATGTTAGCATTTTAGAGGTGCTTGTACTTTGTTTTCCTTTCAATGATAAACACACCAGTTTCTTGGGGACAAAGTGATAATAACATTATTAGAGTTTATAATTCTTTTTAAGGGGGAATGCCAAGAGTTCTCATTTTCTTTTTAAATTCTGTAGACAAGTTTATAATTTTCTTAAAATATGTCTGAAAATAATCTGGAGTTATCAGAGCAAATAGCACTGATGCCATTTCCGGAAGTCAACCTTGCCTCTGTATAGCAGAGAGGGAGCTACAGCAGGCTATTCACGAAAAGTTAAAGGAAATAGCATAATAGCAAGCAAAAATAATGGCCACTCAATAAATTTTAAATTGCATTCTCATGATAGGCTCAAGAGTGCAATACAAAATAAGAGTCACATAATTTTAAATCCAGGTGTAAAATGTTTTCATTAAACAGGTTCTTAGAAAACAAATGTTTTATGTCTCTAATTCCTAACATTGCTTCTGGTATTGCAGATAAGGCAATCTATGGTGGATTAAATAACTGGTTTTAAGTGCAGATGTTAGTTGCATTTATAAATTCAATTAATTTTTTTTTTGTTTTGCCCTTATGAAATAAGATTCTTGCAAAACTCTTGTTTTACTGATCCATTTACTGAGTTGTTGAATTGTCCACTCTTTTTTTAGGTTGGCATTGTACTGCATTATTCTACACTCTCCACTATGCTCTGGATCGGAGTAACTGCCAGGAATATTTATAAGCAAGTCACAAAAAAACCTCAGCCTTGCCAAAACAGTGACCAACCTTCTTATCCAAAGCAACCTCTACTCAGGTATGGAATATTAGTTACATTATTTTTTTAATTTCTTCCTAGAAGATGTCAATTATAAGCGAACTCTCATTCTTATTTCTGTATTTTTTACTTTTTATAGACTATAAATAGCATCCATAAAGAATTGAGCCACCTGGGTGTGTACAAAAATCTGAGTATTTATTCTGTGATGATAGTTAGCTCTACTCAGAAGACGGGAATATGTAGAACATGTATTGGCTAAGTTCAGATACCTTTATCTGAACAGGAAGAATTGAAATGTTTTGTTGATTTAGTAAGGAGGAAAAAAAAAAACCAAAACAAAAACTGGCTTGATTCTGAGCCTTATTTAATCACCAGAAACTGTGTTGTAACGACCCTTTACCTTTATCTCTTCTGCTCTACTTCTTGCCCACACTTGTATTGAGAGCCTTATAGCCTGATAGCAACCTTCCTCAGTGCCCATCAGGGATGTGATTCTGTCACAGAGCCACTGGCAGTCTGCACTCCCCTCAGTGCCCATCAG